AAGCCCGTCAATGTTCGTCTGTCCTACGGTGCCAACTCTTCCAACCTCCTGATGATACCTGACACGGGCGCGGACATCACGGTGATTGGACCAACACACCTGGACGCCCTCAACATTCCCAGGAGTAGCCTGTCACCCACAGCCATGAAAGACGTGCTCACAGCGGACGGGTCCCCGATGTCTCCACCTTTGGGTTGCTTCAAGGCAACACTACAGCTCGGTCCCAAGTCTTGCCTTGCCACAGTCCACGTCCATGAGGGCATCCAAACCCCTCTCCTGTCATGTGGCCATTGTCAGGACTTGGCCATCGTCTCATCCGAGTTTCCAAAGCCCATCCTCGCCGTGACACACCTCAACAGGTGTGCAGAGATACCTGTTTCAGCCATGACCACACCTGCTGCCGCCCGGGAGTTTTTTCTTCGTCAGTTCAGCGACGTCCTTGTCTCCAAGTCCGACCTCCAGAAGACGCCGCTCAAGAAGATGACAGGCCCCCCGATGAGAATCCACCTCAAGCCTGGCGCGACGCCTTTCGCCACCCACACACCCAGACCTATCCCCTTTGCCCTACAGGACAAGGTGAAGGCGGAGCTCGATTCTCTGGTGCAGCAGGGGATCATCAGACACGCCGGTGAGGAGCCCTCCGAGTGGTGCCACCCTATGGTCTTGGCACCCAAGCCTGTAGGTGTTCGCATCACAGTGGACCTCACCCATCTCAACTCGCAGGTCTCCCGTCCCGCCCATCCATCGCCTACGCCCATTCAAGCAGTCCGCAGCGTCACCCCGTCTGCAAAGTTCTTTACCACGGCGGATGCACTACATGGGTACTGGCAAAACGACCTGGCGGAAGAAGATCGCCACCTCACTACATTCATCACGCCCCACGGCCGCTTCCAACACTGCCGCGGACCCATGGGCTTCGCAGCAACGGGGGATGCGTACTGCCTCCGTGGGGATATGGCTCTGCAGGGTGTCGCCAACTGCTTGAAGGTCGTAGATGACATCCTGCTCTTTGACGATGATCTCCCGGCCCACTTGAACCGAGTTCATCTGATGCTCACAAGATGTCGTGCCCATGGTATCACCCTGAACAAAGATAAATTTGTGGTCGCCGCCTCCCAAGTTAACTACTGCGGCTACAACATCTCGCCAGAGGGGATCTCAGCTGATGAGGAGAAGGTCAAGGCCATCAGGGACTTCCCTACTCCAGCGAACCTGACCGACCTTCGCTCATTTATGGGCCTGGTAAATCAGCTGGCCGACTTCTCCCCTAAAATCGCCACATCAGCCCAACCTCTACGCCCCCTCATGAGCCCCAAGCGCTCTTTCCTCTGGACTCCTGACCACGACCTAGCGTTCAGGAATGTTAAGAAGGCGTTGCTGTCACCACCAGTCTTGGCACCCTTCGACCCATTGTTACGAAGTTGCTCCCGGTTGGATAGTTGGAGTATCTTTGTCATGTCCCCTTTGTTTAGCCCTGCCTTCCACTTATACACCTCTATCAGGTCGCCCCTCACCCTACGTCTCTCGAGGGAGTGCAAATTAAGATGCTTTAACCAGTCTCTATACTCAAAGTTCCTAATGCCCGGGATTAGTCTTATCATTCACCTCTGAATTCTTTCCAAGGATTCTATATCCATTCTTTAATACAGTGACCAGAATTGAACTGCATAATCCAAGTGAGGTCTCACAAGCGCAAGATATAGTTTTAGGATGACCTCGCTAGTCTTGTAACTAACACTCCTTTGTATGAACCCAAGTACTTTATTAGTCTTGTTTCGAGCAAATACACATTGTTTACTTGGCTTAAGATTCCTACTTATCATTACTCCTAAATATTTCTTGCAGTCGGATTTCTCAATAACATCGTTGTTCATGTGGTATCTGGTTTCCCTGTTTATATCTCCTTTACCGAGTACTTTACATTTGTCCACATTGAATTTAATCTGACACTTTTTAGACCATTCAAAATTTTTGTAGATCTTCCTGTAGTTGTGAGGAGTCCTTGTCAGATTTAATTACACGCCCTATTTTAGTGTCATCAGCAAATTTACTTATGTTTTTTTCTAAGCCGATATCTATGTAATTTATGTACATAATAAATAATAATGGTCCACTAAATCCAATCGGATTTAGTGCCATTAATGCTCACTCGCTGTTTCCTGTCCTGTAACCACACACTAATCCATTTTAGAATATCTTATTTAATACCATGAGCCTCCACTTTTCTTATTAGTCTTTCATGGTGGACTCTGTCGAAGGCTTTGCTAAAGTCGAGATATACCACATCATAATTGTGCCCCTCGTCCACTGATTCGAGAACAGATGAAAAGAATGTTAATAGATTAGTTAGACATGAATGCCCGCTTGTGAAGCCATGTTGGGAATCATTGATCAACTTGTGCTTCTCCAGGTGATTTCGAATAGAGTTGGAAATGATTGATTCCGGTTATTTGCTTACAGTTGATGTTAGACTGATTCGACAATAGTTAGAGGATAGTGATCTATCTCCCTTCTTGAAAATTGGTATTACATTCGCTATCCTCCAGGATTCTGGTACTACACCTGTTTTTAAGGACATGTTAAACAACTTTGCTAAAGGGCATACTAAGCTCTTTCTTACATTCCTTTAATACTCTGGCAAATATCTCATTGGGACCTGGTGACTTATTAGGCTTTAGTTTATCTACTTGGTTCCTAACATTGTTACTTATCACTACTGTCTCGCTTAATTTATTTTCTTCACTATCTCTGTATTGAGTCGGTGCCTCGGGTATCATGTTTAAATTTTCGATGGTGAAAACTGTTGAAAATATTTATTCAGATTATTGCTTATTTCTCTGTCGTTATCAGTTAGCTCGCCGGTATCTGACTGTATTGGTCCAATCTTTTCTCGTGTTTTAGTTTGATACATTTGATAGAATCCCTTGGGGTTTGGCTTCGCCTCCCTTGTTACCTTCAGTTCATTATTCCTCTTTGCTTTTCTTATCTCGGTCTTAACTCTACCGGCCAATACCTTATAATAATTTCAGAGGTAAACTTCACCACGATTTATTCTCCTACCTATAGCCTTCCTTTGTCCAATAATATTCTTTAAATAATTATTTATCCATTTAGGGTCATTGTTGTCTGATCTGAGTTTTCTGTATGGTATGTTCTGCCTTTGTGCATTAAGTAACTCATTATTTAAATTATTGTGGAACTCGTCAACCTCAGATCTTGTGATCAGGTCATCCTCAACCGTCGGGTCTCCAGGTAAGGAGAGGTCACCTCATTTGAGGTCATGTAATTCACCCCTAAGCATGATACCCCCTCTCTCAGCTGCCTCTTCAAACTATCAAAGTTTGCCCTTCTGAAATCTGGGACTTTAATGGAATTTTCCTTGCGGCTGCCCTGAAATTCTAATTGGATTCTTATTTCTTTATGATCGCTGTTAGCAAGTTCGTTCCCTTCCTCGACATTACTAATGAGGTTTACTCTGTTTGACAGAACTAAATCGAGTACAGGTATATTATTACCCCGGGTCGGTTCGGTTATATGTTTACCCGCTCCCACTGCAGTCTCCTCCACCCCTGTACTCATATGTTCCCCCAGCAGCTTAAAGACTTCGACATCTTTTGAACTGCCCTCGCCAGAGAGCCAGCCAGGGTTGCCACCCCATCCCTAGACAGATGCACCCCATCCCTAGCATGAAGGTCCCCTTCTGCCATAAAAGTTTTCCCAGTTGTCAATGAATGGGACTGATATTACGTGCAAAATTTGTCAAGAAGGCCCTTGACACCAACTGCCCTTGACAACCATTAATTGCCAACTCTCCTAGGGATCCCTCCCTTCGACCTAATACGTTCTATAGTTGTCTTGAACTTATCAAGAAGCTCCTCACTCCTCCACCGGCCAATATCATTGCCTCCTGCACTTAGCCTGATAATGGGTTTGTTCCCATTACCAGACAAGATATTATCCATCCTGTCAACTATATCCTCCACCCCAGCTCCTGGCAAACACACCCTCATCCTATTTATATTTTTTCCACAAAAAGCTCTGTCCAGATACCGTACCTGGGAATCGCCAACAATTAAGATTTTCGTACCTTCCTTGTCAGCCCTGTCTCTGACTATGTTAAAGTCCAATTCGTCTATCAAAGGACTTGAAAGGGTTGGTACACTTACCTGTTGTTGTCGTATCCTTAGTGAGCTTTTTCACCACGTTGGTGTATTTTTTCACCACCAGTTTGGTCTTCCCTCTCCTCACAACCTTCCATTCGTCTGAGTTTTCGTCAGACACGGGCATTCCTTGCCTCGTTTCTTCCTCCATCCTCGCTATCACTTCCCTTATTTTCAAGATTTCTTCCTTGGCCCTCTCTAACTCGGCCCTCAGAAGGGCACAGCCCTGTTCACAAGTAGCACTAGCCATTACTGACATTTTATTTAACTTTCATGTTTGTCCCTAAAAATACTTTAGCTTTCTTGTTTATTCACGACATCTTCAGGTCATGAGACCCACTAATTCCCCAGCCAAGAAAGGGTGATCTAACATTCCATCAGAAGGTCAGTAATATGAGACCACTAATCCCCCACCTGACCTCCACCTGACATTGAGTCAGGTCAGGTCCCCACAAAAATACTTTAACTTTCATCTTTAGTCAAGACATTTTCAGCAAATTCTTTCAAGTTTCAACCTCTGAAAATTTGTTCCCAAAGCTGGAATTTTGGGGAAAATTCCGGCTTTGGGAATGATTTTCCTAGCAAATTTCAATTCCGGCTATCGAAGATTTCCAGGTTTGAGGGATTCTGGCTAACAGAGATATTACTATTTACATTTTGATCATTTACACATATTAACAGAAATGCTTATTATAATGTATTATATCTTGCACCCCCTTCTATCAGTCTACTGTACAGTTTGTATAGTATGTTTCTGTAAAGTCGGTAACACCTACTGTACTGTAGCACTGTTTTCAAGAAAAGGTAATTTTTGTAATTAATTTTTTATTTTATTTACAGAAATTTGATGGAACAGTAACTGCACTTCAGCTGCTTCAGACAAACAATTACACTGATCACTTGGAGGAAGCTGTCAAACTGCATTTTATTCACCGGAACAAGTTGAAGATGGTTGAGCCAGACTTTAACTTCTCGACCTTCATCCTAGACCAGGTGAGGCATTGTTTACATGACTAATGGGTAACATTTACCTAATGAATTATGTGAATTAAATTTTTTGCCACTTATCAGCTTACCAACCATACAGGCCAACCACCCAAATGGCTAGTATGCTGATAAGTGGTGAAAAATGTAATTCAGTCTTAGTACGGGAAGAAACCGGGGTCTGGGAAACCTGTGGTGTTTGGTAGTGAGGATCACACTGGATAACATCCTTCTTGCTCAGAGAGATTGACTTCGAAAAGTTGATAAAAAACTTTGCAGCGGCCAGGTCACGTAAAGTGCCTGGTCTGTAAATAAAGGTAATGTTTATTTTCTATTTTGCAATTGATCAATGTTTGTGTTCAATTTATCCATTATCCATGGTCGATGGCAGTTATTTTTATTAAAATTCTTGTTTTTTCCAACATGTTCAGACTTTTGTTATAATTTTATCAAATTCATTAAATTGTTTATTTATTTTACTATTGGATGCAAAACTTCAATTTTATTTATAGTTGAGTTAATACTTATTCTGAATCTATCTGACCTTGGACTTAAAGAAGCCTATACATGCATTCTTGAACAGAACCATTATTTGAGTAGAGGTTTATCTGATTAATAATGCAAAGAATCATCTCTCTGTAATAACTAATAATATATTCTTTTCTGTGAAGTCTCTTGAAAATTTTTGACATGTGCGGTAGTAGTTATATCAGGGCTGGTCGACTTGAAACCACATGAATGACTACAGTCATGTCTCACTTTTGTGTGTGTGTGTGTGTGTTGGGAATTTGTACACTATCAATAAATATACAGTTAATTAAAAATTTCTCAATGTTCTAATTTCCTCAATGTAACTGCAAATGGCTTCAAAATTCTCCAAAGAAGTGTTCAAATTTCAAAATTTTCCCGGGGGGCTTACAGCGCCCCCCAGAACTCCCAGATGTTTAGGCTCGCTTCACTCGCCACCCCACCCTCTTGGGTAATTATAATGAAGGGAGCCTCCACGAAGAGGCTGCCCATGGGCCTCCACAGGTCTAAATCCGACACTGTCTCACACCACGTGTAGAATTGTATTTTTCATAACCTGCTCACCTTCAGTACTGCTTTACCATCTGTAAAACACATTTAAAAGTTTTGTCAAGAGACTATCTGTGTTCATGTTGAGTGTTGTAGAATGTCTACAGGTGAGGAATAGAATGTATTGTGTTGCAAAGTTGCTTCTATTAGTGCTCATGAAAATTAAAAGGGAGAAGGTGCTGTTATTGTTTGGCCATGCCTCTTACTTGTTGTTTCAAGTAGTACTTTATTGTGAAGATATTCAATAGATGATATGTTTGAGGAAGACTTTGTGTCAGCTTTACTTTAACTGTAGTATGAGAAGTTAACCTTTTATAGATTACCAAATGAAATGTAAAATATTGTTCTTTCATCCTGAACAAAATGTTTTGATGACTAAAAATATTAATTGATAGAAATATTTACTGGTGGAATGATCAAGTGAGTGACTAACAGCCAGAATTATTTCGTACGAGTGGATCTAAAACCTTATCTTTTTTCTTGTTTTGTCTTTTTTTAGACCCAAAGTGACATTCCATCCTTCAACCAGCATTGGATGGTTGCTCTTCAGATTGAAGGTGTGAAATATGGTGCACACATCTTAGCCATGTTCAACAATCAACCCTTTCATACTCCTCCGTTGGCCCTGACCATTGCGGACACAGCTGTGATACGAGCCGTGACAGGGAACAAGAATATTACCATTGCAACGTCTAATCACCCTCTGCCTAGGACTGACATAGAGAAGGTAAAAATACCTTATTATTTTGTTGTGTACTAAAACTAAGATCTTACATGGAGTTTGAAGGAATGATGTTGGGTACTTTTTAGCTTAGTGAATTATGTGTGACAGAGAGAAAGAGAGAGGTTGTTTATTTTCATGTACTGAACTGTTTATAACTAAACCTTGTGCTTGCGTTAGTGAATCTCTGCAGTTATTTAATACAGTAATGTATAATTTTAATTGGACAAGCCATCTCCACAATTAACCCACATTACAGGAAGTTTACTGTACTGTACATTCAAATATCACCAAATTCCAAAAATATTTGAGTTTATGGTCATTTGAATATGGGAAAATAAAAGATTTTTGTATGTTTTTAAGGTGTGGCATATGTGGTACAGGGAGATGGTGTAACCTTTATCCTTAGTCTGTGTCTTATTGTGTGGTTAGGTAGCAAAAGGCTCATACAGTACATTGTATCCCTAACTTTACAGACATTCAAACAGTCACAGGGATCATTTTATGAACATCAGAGTACAGTACTTGTAAGGTAAAATACAAGTGTTGTACAGTATGAATCTTATTTCAAGACATAGAGTTAAAGATTATTTTAAACAAATGTGAATTTTATGCTATTGAATATTTAGTAAAGTGTATGTGTACAGTATCTACACTATCATTGTATTAATGATTCTGCTAAGATCTTATTTTCTTACAGTTAACACAAGATCAGCGACAGAACTTGGGCTTTCAGATTGGTTTCAACTTGGCCTTTGGGATGTCCTTCTTAGCTGCCTCATTCGTCATTTTTGTCATCCAAGAACGTAGTAGTAAGTGAAGATAAACATTAATGTGCACAATTTTAAGGATGAGCATGTAGACTTTCTCTCTCTGTACCTTGGGGCTGAAGACTTTATAAAAAATTACTGTTGCTCTTGTTTTCCAATGACATGTTAGTTTTGTGTGTCACCTCTCCTATAGTGTCAGATATTTGGTACCTTCAGGAGCTCAACAGAATTCTAATAAATAGCAATAGATTTTATCAAACCTGATACTTTAAATAGGTATACATCACATTATTTCTAATGGGTTTGATAAGGAGTATTTTTGGTGTTTTATCCAAGAGTTATGGCCTCTCGGAGTTTGTTGCCTCATGAGGATTTGGCCGCCTCTAATGACAGATATTTGTTTTGTTATTTTTATTAAAGCTCACCTCATTCTCTTGTTCCTATCATGTGTCCATGCAGTAATTTTTTTTCCTCACCACAATGTGTCTATGGTTAAGGGAGGCTTTAATAAATAAATTTCTCAACATTTTATTTGTTATTGTGTTTTTTTTAAGGTTACTCAGCCAGTCATGTTTTTTGTTTATGGCCAAATGAGAGTTTGGTTTGTGACTCAGGTGCAATATGTTACACATGTTGTTTTATACAACTCTGACTATTCAGGAGCTACAAGTTTTACAGACATAAGGTAGTGGTCTAGTCAGTCGATTCTAAAAAAAGAAAAAGAAAAGTTGAATTAAGTCATTTAAGGAAGAAATGTTGTGCTTGAAGTGATAAGTGCTGCTCATTCACCTAACTCCCCACAACTTGAAATCCCTCATGGGCCGCCTTGTGTCACTCCTTTTTTATAGATATATTTCACACACAAATATATATATATATATATATATTAGTTCTGGAACTAATAAGTGGCAGGGCTGAAGTAAACACTTTGTTGGTTTTTCTTTATTGTAGAAAAATATAGTTTCACAGGTACTGAGTTCAGTTGAGAGTATATTGTACCTTCTCTACTAAGGGAAGTGTCTTAGTGCAATTACACAGGAGAACACTTAAGTGAGGTGTTCACTGGGTAACAAAAGGCATGAGTCTGATCTCTCCCTTGTTTCTATATCAAGAGAGAGATGAGGAGCAGGCCAGGTCTGTTATGATTTGGTTGACCTCACCTGCCCTCTAGAGTGTGAGAAAGGAAACACGTCAGATATACTGTTGTGCTAACATGAGCTGACCTCAGCCAGACCTTGCTCGCTCCCCGAAAGAGCTGCAACCTCAGCCAAGTATAATGTCAACAGCTGAGGCACAGTTGAATAACTTGGTGAATAATTTGGTAATATACATTTGGGTAAATATTTATACAGTCAACCCTCACTTTACGCGGTCCCACATTCCGCGTTTCCATGTTTACGCGGTACCCTGCCAGAACCCAGGATGCTCACATTCCGCGGTGCGTGTACCCCTTTACGCAGGTGAAGTATAATTTTTTTATTTAGCTCATAAAATTCATACAAATTATCCGGCCAGAATATAATTTACAATGCTGGAATTCTTACAATTTGATGATCATTTTGAATATACGCATCATAGATTTTGCATTAGATATACAAATTTTAGATCTAATGCAAGTACAGTATTTTGTTTACTCAGAGCAAATATGCTATCTTTTGTGCAAAATATATGAAGTGTATATTCAAAATATTCCTGGTCTTGCAAGGAATCCAGCAATGTCAATTATATTATCCTATCTTTAGTCTGAGGTATTATTTATTACTAAAAGTTAAAATCTAGTTTTTTCACCCAACATTTCTCTGGTAGGGAGGGAAGGTGGGGGGTGGGGGGGAGGGTTGGGACTATCTGGCGCGGTTGGAAGAGGGGGGGAGGCAAGGTGGGGTACATTGATTGACAGATAGTGTTGTGAAGAATATTTTTTTTTTTATTAACTGAAGATATTTGTTTTAGCTCATAAAATTCATACAAATTACCCGGCCAGAATATAATTTACATTGCTGGAATTCTTGCAATTTGATGATCATTTTGAATATAAACATCATAGATTTTGCATTAGATATACAAATTTTAGATCTAATGTAAGCATTTTGTTTACTCTGAGTAAATATGTTATCTTTTGTGCAAAATATATTGACAGTTATATTCAAAATATTCCTGGTCTTATATGAATCCACAATGTCAATTATATTATCCTAACAGTGGTTTTCCCCCAAAAATTTCTAAGAGAGGGAAGAGCCAGTGAGTGTAGTGTGAGAAGAGGGGGAGGGAGTTGAGTTCATTATTTGAATGGACATTAACTTGGCGACTGTATTTCTCTATTTCTCTTAAGTATTAATTGTGTGCATGTACCATCATAAAATTAAGATGTTATTTTTACTACAACGTAGGTATTGTGTCGGAAAAAGTGGAGTTTGGGGGTCAGCCGATCTCTATTTCAATTACAGTAATCCCATATGTTATGTTGTTCACTTTTCGCGTTTCTCACTTTCCGCGGTACCCCGTGGGTTGAATTAACCGCGTAAAGTGAGGGTTGACTGTATAATGCAAATGGTGCTGTTACAGCCTTATTGGATTCATTAACCCGTGGCTGCAGTAGAGTCGTGCATTGGATGATACTGTACTTACTGTTGCTTGATGGTGACAACTGAAGAACAACTCACCTTCAGTAATGGGTTAAAATTACACTTAATTTACACTTATTTACCATAATTAGGTGAATCAGTTTATGTAAGCTGATTATATATAGTGTTCCACATTTCAAAATAAGTATCGGTAATACTTTATAAGGCAATTTTTTAGGTTAATTATAAATAGGGAGGTATTATGAAACATTGACGTATGTAATGAATGTAGGTTGTTTGTGGCACGGATGTTTAGTTTGGGCCAAGGTGGTTAGGACCTAACCTAACCTAACCATGGCCCAAATTTCCATTCACTGTATGTAATATTGTTGACTGTGGAGTAGAATTTATTAGCTATAAGGTCTTAAGGTCTTTAATAAGGTGGAATTAAGTACTATGTGTAACCTTTACTTACAGCCAAAGCCAAGCACCTGCAGTTTGTATCTGGCGTGAACTTCATCACCTACTGGACGGCTTCAGCCATTTGGGATTATATCTTGTTTATGGTTCCTTGTTGTTTTTGTCTTCTGTGTCTGTTTGTAAGTATTGTTATCTTTATTATTATTATTGTTATTAATAGTATTATTATAACTGTATTATTATTACTCATTACTAGGATTATGATATGTATTACTTTATTATTATTATTATTTTTATTTAGTATTTTTATCTTTATATTATTATTATTTTATTGTTATTGTTATTCAATAGGGTGTATCGGCAGTAAGGAGAACTGTGGTTGCTTTTGAAAACACCAGTGTTTGTAAAATGTTGGTAGCTTAAAAAGAATATAAACATTGTCTTAGTTTCCATCCTCCCATTAACATTTCATTAATTTTGGCTTCATACAATTTGCAGGCATTTTTTAAGGTCTTATACTGGACTCTAAAATAGCCCTTGATAAAATTATCAAGAACACTGGAGGTATCCTACACTGGCCTCCTTCCCTTGGCATGGCTACCTCTAGTGGGTGGTCATTAGGTAAATAAGGTTAGACCCATCGTTGTCTTCTATCTCTATTCCTTGTCATGTTTCAGACTGTGCTCGAGTATGTATGTATGTATGTATGTACAGTAAAGAGGATATTTATGATAATATGTCTTTTATACAGCTGTTTGGCCTGAAGGGGCTGAGTGAAGGAGAGCAGCTGGCAAGAATCATGCTGGTATTCGTACACTACGCCTGGGTCACTCTGCCACTGATGTACCTCTGCTCCTTTCTCTTCACTGTGCCTTCTGCAGGATTCACCAGGATGATTATCATAAATATTATTTCTGGTATACATCACCCTTTTGACAGTATCTGTGTATCACTAGCAAATAGAGACTGAAGCTTTCATTATACAATACAGTACTTACAGCTGAATCGTCCTCATCACAGCCACCCAGTTTTTTCTTATCCATTTTTCCCCCTTTTACTACAACTATTTTAAAGATTCATTTTGCCTGTAAGTATTGTAATGATGTCACATATCTTTACATATTACCCAGTTACCTTTTTTAAAAATTTCATTCTCTAGAAGTGTGTTAAGTTAAGGTCACAAGCCTTAGCGAGCAACTTGTGATTTACCAGCACCTGTGTTGGCCATCCTGATGTATGAGTTTCTGAAGTAGAAACATAGTATTCATATGGAGAAACTCTTTACAGTACCAAAAAAAAAAAAAGGGTCCCATAAGAGATTGCATGTTAATGGCAGTTTTTTTGAAGAGATCACCAGTATATCAGGGGGAAACCTTTACAGGGTGTACATGACTGATTACCCTGATTAAAGCATGGGTCTACCACTGTTTTTAGGGTAATAATTTATGGATACCCTGTATTATTAGGTTCGAGGTGCAACTGGATTAGAATTTATTTTTAAAACAACCTTCCACTATTATCTAACCATCAAATAAATACACTGTCAATTTATATTAATTCCCCCAGATCTTGATTATCAAAGGGGATTTCAGGATTCAGCTCTTTAATAGTTCTGCATTTATGTTCTCTCAGGTAGAATTAACAAAATATTCTTCTTGTGCATAAATAGTTGGACCTGAGTTGTTAAGAGGATCTTCCTCTCTTGTTTTATATATGTTCTGATAATTGTCATAAATGATAATAAAATACTGTATTACTTTTGGCAGGAATGGCTACCGTCATCACAGTAACCATCCTCCGTATACCAGACCTGGAGCTTGGCCACGTAGCTGATATGCTTGACTGGATATTTCTGCTTTTCCCATCTTATGCCATGGCTGCTGCCATTACTGATGTCTACAGTAATTATAGATCTACAGAAATCTGCAAGCGTTCTACTGTTAGCTTAATATGTACACTGGGGATTGCTCCCAACCCATGTTGTAGGGGTAAGTTATTTTGTTGGTCTTATATATTAGTTCTACTGTCAATAGGAACTGGTGAACTATCAGTTTCTCATGGACATAGTCCTTGGGTTTTCTGTTGTATATTTCTATAATATATTCTTAATGCATTTTGCCTCCTGGAATGAAATATAGTAAGACTGATCCTACAGTGATTTTTTTCATGTTGACAACTGTTACTAAAACTTTTACTTTTACTTTTATCCTCTTCACCAATTGATCAGCTCGTTAGCACCTTGGGTGATCGGTCAGGGCTCTGTTATGCACTGTTGGCAAGTACTGGGCATGCACCGGCTCCTGAATGTACCTGAACCTGCTTCAGTGTTGGTCAAGTATGGTCTTGAAAGATCTCTCACTCGGTGCCGTCACAACACTTTCTGGTAGATTGCTCCAAGAGTTCATAACTCTTACTCCGAAAAAGTTTGCCCTCACAGTTTTCTGGACCTGCGGCTTCTTCAATCTTGAGCTGTGACCCCTTGTGGGGCGAGCGTCCGCCAGCTCCAAGTAAGGTCACTCCACTGAGTAATGCCCCTTGAGATGCTTATACACCTCAATTAGGTTGCCCATTGCCCATCTGTAGTATAAGCTAGGCAAGTTCAGGCGCTCCAATCTCTCAGGGTAGTTGAAGTGCCGAAGTGCAGGCACCAGTCTGGTGGCCCTCCTTTGAACATTTTCAACCAACTGACAGTCCCTAGCATATCTCGGGGACCAGACGGGGTGACAGTACTCCAGATGGGGAAGCACTTCACACTTGAAGATCGTTACGAGGGACGAACCATCTAGATATCTGAACGACCTTCTTATAAGACCCAATAATTTATTTGCCCAATTTACCTTCTTCTCGCAATGGCCCGAGAACTTCAGCTCATTGGCAACATACACACCTAGGTCCTTCTCACATTCAGTCTCAAATAGTGCAGTTTCTTTATCCCGTTGGGACATATGACACGCCTCCTTACCGTTGGTACGCCCCAGGTGCATCCTCTTACACTTCGTGACATTGAATCTCAGCAGCCATTCCTTCGACCATTCTTGGAGATCACAGAGGTCCTTCTGCAGCTTTTCACAGTCAGCTTGGTTCTTGATTTCCCGAAATAACTTGGCGTCATCGGCAAACATTTGTATGGAGGAGTGTACTGGCGTCAGATGATTTCGTGCCATTAATCACCACACACTGCTTGCGGTCATGTAGAAAGTCTTTTATCCACGCTAGGACATTTCCCCGAATTCCGAACCCTTCCAGTTTGATTTTCACCCTTTCGTGGGATACTCTGTCGAAAGCCTTGGCAAAATCTAGGTATATATTGTTGATATTACCACCGCATTCCAGAATATGGATCCAAATATCCAATATCTTGAGCAATTGTGTTAACCAGGAACGCCCCGGCATAAAACCGTGTTGGCAATTCTTTACAAAAATGTTTCGTAGTAGATGTTCCATCGCGGCATCTCTGATAATACTCTCAAGTACTTTACATATTATGCTGGTCAGGCTCACCGATCAATAGTTGCTCGTGGAGTGACGATCGCCCTTCTTGAAGATAGGACTCACATAAGCCACTTTCCATTCACTGGGGACCATTTGTTCATCCAGGCATTTACAAAACAGGATCTTCAGGGGCTCAGCAAGCTCGTTGCACAACTCTCTTAGCACTCTGGGATGCACCATGTCAGGGCTGGGACTCTTATGGACCTTTAGCCTTGACAGTTTATTTCTAATACCCTCTTCTGTGAACACAATGTGGGTCAGTGCTGTGTCGAATTGTCTGTCCTCAACTCAGGAAGATTAATCGCATCCTCTGTTGTGAACACCGAGGAAAAGAAGCTGTTCAATGCCTCAGCTTTATCCTGGTCAGAATCTGTATAACTACCATCTTCAGCCTCAAGTCTGATACTCTTACTTGCATTTTTAATTTCGACTTTGCATAGCGGTAAAACGCCTTTGGGTTAGACTTGACCTCGCTTGCAACCAGCCTCTGGAACTCCTTTTCAGCCCTTCTACACTCTATCTTTGCTTGGTTTCTGGCTCTTGCATACATCCTCCTGTCCTGCTCATCATTTGACCCAACTCACGTCTTGAATTTTTTAGTTTTCTTCTTAACTTTGTCGACCGCCGCATGGTTCATGTGTAGGGATCCCCTCATATTCCTAGAGGCACTGGGTTTGGCCTTGGGTATATATTTATCGATCAAATGGGTCACCTTACTAGTTATGATATTCAGCATAGTGTCTGCGTTCTTGTGCCTTAATGAGTCAGGCCAGTTGATACCCCTCATCTCTTCCCTCATCCCATTGTAATTTCCCTTGTAATATTTGCACCTTGGCCTGGCCTTATCTTGAACTAGGTAACAGTTAAATCTGATTAACAACACTATATGGTGACTGGTGCCAACTGGGGCATGGTGTTCCAGTTTGGCCACCATACCCTCCTCGTTTGTTATGATGAGGTCTAGTGGCTTGGGTGTTTGCTCCCCTCTGTAATGTGTCGAGTCTCGAACATGTTGGAACAGAAAATTATCTCTCAGAGTTTCTACAAAAAGAGTAGCAGGGTTATTCAAGTCATTCGGGGTGGACTCGTTTCTCCAGTCGATGTCGCCATAGTTAAAGGAGGTGGCTAGGGTTGAGCATCGCTGTGTTGTTTATTAAGGCTCTTAAGTTCCTTTGATTTAGTGGGCCACAGTTTGGGGATTTGTAGATACACCCGACAATAAGTAAGTCCCCTCGCTTTAATTTAATTTTACACCACTTGGACTCTTCAAAAACATCCTCTCCCTGTATCCTCTCCTGGCTGGCATAAGGTCTGGCCTAGCATAGACAATCACACCCTTCTTACAAGTTTCTTGAGAAAGGTTCGTAAATGAGTCATAGACCTTATTACTGAACTCACATTCTTCTGGGTCGATTCTCCTGTTCTTGTACAACAGTTCTACAACTCCTACTATATCTGGTTGGTGCACCTTCAGTAGTGTTTCAAACTCTTCTCTCTTATCAAGGAACGTGTCAGTATTAGTGTACATGACATTCAAGGCAGAATTTGTTCTTGGTAGGGTCTCTGCTCTCATTAGTAACCCCCCCCCCCCCATTCTCAGAAGCTGCAGCATTTGCTAAGTACACTGTATTTTGCAGGGTGTAGTTAGAAATGTCATTGTTTACACAGCGCTCGCCTCCGCCTCCTCCCGGCTGGTAGGCGGAGCTGGTGCCACCTCCCGTGTGGGGGGTAGAGCGGGTGGATGGTGCGCTGCTGCCCCCTGGCTCTGTGTCAAACTAGAATAATCTAATTGACATACCTTCCAGAATCAATGAATGAGTTAGGATAAAATTTAAAGTAATTTAATGTATTCATTTTGTTATGTAAGTCTAGTACTATATGAGTAAGTGTGTATGGAGTCATTTTATCTTTTATTTCCTGTCTTGGAGTTTGTTTGGTTCTTTCTTATTTTCCATATAATGTACTGTACAGTATATTAGTGACTCTCCTGATTAAGTGTGTATATATATATATATATATATATATATATATATATATATATATATATATATATATATATATATATATATATATACATACATACATACATACATACATACATACATACATACATACATACATACATACATACATACATACATACATACATACATACATACATACACATACATATACATACATACATACATACATACTGCCATACATACATACATACATACATACATACATACATACATACATACATACATACATACATACATACATACATACATATACATACACATTTACATACATACATACATACATACATACATACATACATACATACATACATACATACATACATACATACATACATACATACATACATACATACATACATACATACACACATGCACATACATACATACATACATACATATACATACATACATACATACACATACATACATACATACATACATACATACATACATACATACACATACATACATATACATACATATATATATATATATATATATATATATATATATATAGGATTGATTAAAATAGACACCGGGCTGAGCCCAAACTCCACTTTTTCAGACACACAAATGCGTTGTAGTAAAATAACTGTAATTTTATGATGGTATGCACACACAATTAATAATTAAGAGAATCATCAATAATATTAGGTTTTTTAACACTTACATTAGTAGAAAAGATGGCTGGGCACACGGGGATGGGGGGTTGGTTCCGAGGCAGAGGGCAGATTATTGGCCTTCACCTGTATCACTTGTATCAATTGTATCACTATCCACCACAGAGGCTTGCAGGGCCTCTTTGTCAAACCCCTCAAAGTCCATATAAGTCCATATCCTCACTATCGTTATCACTATCACTGACTTGGGCCGTCTGTGGTGGGTGGCGGGTGAAGAACTCGGTAATGTTTTGATGACTGGGCGACCTTGTGCGCACCCTGCTCGCGCTGCTCTCCGCGTAAAAGGGTACACACACCGCGGAAAGTGAGCAACTACTCACAGACATTCTTGGGTATATCCAGGGTGTCATCCGCGAATAATAGAGGACTGCGAAATAAAAATCCACGCACTTGGGGGCCCCTGTATTTCATTTGAAGACCTAACCCATATATGTTTCCTTTCTTATGTTGGTGATAAGCAAGAGTATTATTTTTTATTCCTTTTATCTTACAGAAGCTGACAATTGTGGCAGTTTTGGTTGTGTCGACTGGAATGAAGATTTTCTGTCCTGGGAGAAGCTCGGTATTGGCAGAATGTTAGTGTTTATGGGAGTGGAAGGAATATTGTTCTACATTTTGATAGCCTTAACTGAGCTGAAGGTGTTCCAAACAATCAGATACTCACTGTCTCGAATATGGCATAAAGTGGCCATTAAACCCTGGAGAGGTGAGTGTTTGTTTTCTTGAGGGTGTTCCTGAGGGGGTTCCTGAGGGTGTCAAGGGATGAAAAGAAATCTGCTCATACTCTCATACTGTGGATATATTAATATAACCCTTCGATGCCCACCATTATTATTATAATGTACAATTTATACAAAGTACTGTACATATTACACAGTGTTCATCCCATGACACCTCCCACAATTATCTGAAAATTAAAAAAAAAAATCCACAACTATGCAATTTTGAGTGCCATCTTTTGACACCTCCCACAGTACTGTGTACTGTCACTAGAGAAGGCAGAGAGGCAGCATACCGGCTGGGGGGGGGGGGCTGCATTACTATGGCAAACGTTGAGACCAGGAAGCTAAGATCCCTGAGATTGGGACACAGTGTGTACACTATCATGTAGGGTCAAATTATGCACAATACTGTATACAGTACTACTGTATATGAAAAAGTCAGGCTTTTTAACCCAAATATCACAGGTCAAACTGTGCACAAGATAGGTATATACATGAGTATATACAATATGGTATACTGTTTTTCCTGTCAGCCATGAGCCTTAGTGTAGGTGTCCATAGGCATAGAGTATTAATACATGAAACCTCATGAAGGCGAGGGTTTAATGTAGTGTGTTGTGATGTTATCTATAGATGTTGAGCTAGAAGGTGACTCAATGAATCCAGAAGATGAAGACGTGAAGGCTGAGCGTCTACGGATACGTGACACTCCTTTGGATCAACTTCAAGAGACAGAGAAGCTAATATTTAGGTGAGTGCAACTAAATCCAGCACTGAAAACTTGACAAATGATTCTTCATGTACTTTGTAGGAGACTGGATGGCCATTTTGTAGCCAACACTTGCAAACATGTACTGTCAATAAATTAAGTATCGACCATCCCAAGGTCGATGAAATAAAAAATAAGCGATGACAACCAACTGACTTCAGTAACCACAGGTACAGGTACCTCTTGTATTGTGCGCGTTTTTTTTGCCCGTTGTTGAATTAACACGAGGTCCAAAATCCCCCCAAAATATTTAATTTACACGTTTTGTTCACAATAACACGCATAAGATGTACAATAAGTTGTAAGTGTATATAAACAAGCGGGCTGTGTACAAGCAGGTTGTATAAACGGGGCTGATGCACACTCCCGTCTTGCCTCAGACGCCTCTCTCACTCACGTTTTTTTTTTTGCACGAAATTTGATTTACAATACCTCTTCAATAACGTAACCCTCGTGTAAATCGAGAAGTACCTGTATATGTTTACAAGTTTCACACGATGTTTCATATTGTGAAGCACAACAAGGTGGTCGATACTTTTTTATTGCCTGTACATACACACTGACACTCCCTCCATGCCCACATGAAGGGAGCTCAGTTCATATTTTAAAACTTTGTAGAGTATACAGTGGTCCCTCGGTTAACGAACACAATTCGTTCCAGAAGGTTGTTCGTTAACCGAAAATTTTGTAACCGAAACCATTGTTTCAATGGGATTTTGGGTAATTGGTTCCAGCTCACCGAAAATTACATGCAATCTAAAAATAAATGCAGTAAAGTGCATTTACTTTGAGGTGTGTATGTTGAAGGCTCCTGGTTGATGATGATGATGATGGGAATTAGAAGTGGTGGTGGAGAAGAAGGGAGAAGAGAAGGAAGTGGGGTGGAAGAGAAATCACCCCATGCTTCATGCTGTCATTTCACCCATAAAATTTTAAGTTCACTAGGTGTAATTCAAGATTATTTTCTTTAAATCAACACTGCACTGCACTATATATTGTCAATATGTAAAATAAAATTCAGAATGACCAATAATTGTACTGTAAAAACATAAAAAATAGTTTATGTTCAAGAGAGTCTCAAGCAAGATGTCACCACTACTGACCAGAGATACAAACTGACTCCTGTTTGGTGAGTTGAGTGGCTGTTTGGCACACCAAAAACTAGTTTCCTGTACTTCAATTATGTTAAATAATTGTTAAAATTACTAAAATTTTTAATATAAAACTTGGAAAATTATTGAATAGTACAACCTTCTTGATATTTACTCAAATGGGAACGAATTTAAGCCCAAGAACCGATTACTGTATCGGCGGACTAATATTCCAGCTGGTGAGCAAGCGAAAACATGTTGAGAGGAATTCGTAAGGAATTCGTTAACCGAATTTTTTTCGTTAACCGAATTGAATATTCTTCTGGAAGGTAATTCGTGAACCGAAATTTCATTAACCGAGGGACCACTGTACAGTAAAGCCTCAAATAACAACAGTAATGTGTCCTCCAATATTGCAGTGTAAGGTGAATCGTCGTATAATGGATCATTAATTACCATTAAAATAAAGCAATAGTAATGAGACGCCTTCCCTAGTCTGACCTTTTCATATATGTTGTGTGGCTTTTTACCCTCTTTTCTCCCCAAATGGAAAATGAATGAAAAATGAAATCTATATTCTTTAAATCATGGTTATTAATGCACCTTATACAATAAAAGTCAATACTAATATGTAGTCGCACAAGAGGAGAGGGGACGCCGTTGTTGTTGTTACACCTGTTCTACCACCTGAAACTGAAGAAGATAAGACCCTTGTTGTAGCTATAGTAAAATTAATGTAAAAAAATATATATATTTTAATAAATGTTATTTAATGTATGTACAGTAAAAGTAACCACTGATAGTAAAGAAGAAAAGTGAGACCAATAGCAGAAGGCCAACGTATGAACATCTGCACTCGTGGAAACACGGCGTCCTTTCTCTTATGTACAAAAAATTCATTATTGTTTATTACTGAAAGTCTATTTGATTGAATTAATGTTTATGTGTGCGGAATGAACAATACAGGTCTTTATTAATATGTTAAATATTAAAACACGCAAGAGGACACGAGACGGCATTGTTTTTGTTAGTGTTTATACCTGTGACGATGGTTCTGCATATGAAACTGAAGAAAATAAGACCCTGGTTGAACCTGGAGTAAAATTAATGTAAAAAAGGAATATATATGTTTTAATTAATGTTATTTAATGTAAATAAATGGAACAATAGAAGTAGCTAACCACTAATGGCAAAGAAAAAACGAAATACGGATTGCGCAATGCCACCGTATGTAAGTGTGCACACGTGAAAACATAACGTCATTTCTCTACATAAGAATATGAAAACAACACTTATTACTGTTCATGTATGTTTTGATTAATGCTTATGAATGCAAAATAAAAATTCTACTCACCAATGGTGGTAAAGTCTAAAACATAAGGGCAGCCAATGTTGTTCTGTGAGGTTTTACTCAGATGACGAAGTTTCTAAGTCATCAGGTTCTCCATCTGAAGCTGTAGGTTCAACTCTGGCTGAAGCTGCAGCTTTCCATAAAGGTGTCATAGCTGTTGCTGAACCTGAAGCTGTTGCTGAAATTGTTACTGAACCTTTAGTTGTTGCTGAAGCTGCTGCTTATGCAAAATTTGATGGTGTAGCTGTACCTGAAGATGATGGTGTAGCTGAACCTGAAGTTGATGGTGTAGCTGTACCTGAAGGTGATGGTGTAGCTGAACCTGAAGTTGATGGTGTAGCTGTAGCTGAAGTTAATGGTGTAGCTGTAGCTGAAGTTGATGGTGTAGCTGTAGCTGAAGTTGATGGTGTAGCTGTACCTGAAGATGATGGTGTAGCTGAACCTGAAGTTGATGGTGTAGCTGTACCTGAAGTTGATGGTGTAGCTGTACCTGAAGTTGATGGTGTAGCTGTACCTGAAGCGTACGCGTAGCCGAACCCGAAGCGATGGTGAAGCCAGAAGCTGCCTGAAGTTGATGGGTAAAGCCAGAAGGAAGGATGGTGTAGCTGTACCCGCGAAGTTGATGGGTAGCTGGTACCCGAAGCGATGGTGTAGGTGTAGCTGAAGCGATGGTGTAGCTGTACCGAAGCGATGGCGTAGCTGTACCCGAAGTTGATGGTGTAGCTGCACCTGAAGCTGATGGTAGCTGTACCCGAAGTTGATGGTGAAGGTACCCGAAGTTGATGGTGTAGTTGTACCTGAAGTTAATGGTGTAGCTGGAACCCCAGCCGACGGCACCCGAAGCCGATGGTAGCTTAAACCCAGTTGATGGTGAAGCAATCGAAGCGATGGTGTAGCTGTACCCGAAGTTGATGGTGTAGCTGGTACCCGAAGCTGATGGTGTAGCTGTACCCGAAGTTGATGGTGCGGGGCCGCCCGAAGTTAATGGTGTAGCTGAACCCGAAGGATGGTAGCTGTACCTGAAGCTGATGGTGTAGTTGCACCCGAAGTTGATGGTGGCTGTACCTGAAGTTTATGGTGTAGCTGTAGCTGAAGTTGATGGTGTAGCTGTACCCGGAAATTGATGGTGTAGCTGTAGCCGAAGCTGATGGTGTAGCTGTAGCTGTACCTTGTGTTGATGGTGTAGCTGTATCTGGAAGTTGATGGTGTAGCGCTGTACCCGGAAGTTGATGGTGTAGCCGTACCCGGATAATGATGTAGCTGTAGCCGGCTGATGGTGAAGGTAAATTCCGGTTGATGGTAGCTGTACCCGAAGTTAATGGTGTAGCTGAACCCGAAGTTGATGGTGGAAGGTACCCGAAGTTGATGGTGTAGCTGTACCTGAAGGATGGTAGTTGCATGAAGTTGATGGAAGGTACCTGGTGCTGATGGTGTAGCTGAACCCGAAGTTGATGGTGTAGCTGTACCCGAAGTTGATGGTAGCGCTGTAGCTGAAGTTGATGGTGTAGCTGTACCCGAAGTTGATGGTGTGCTGTACTTGAAGTTGATGGTAGCTGTACCCGAAGCTGATGGTGTAGCTGTAGCGAAGCTGATGGCAGTGTAGCTGTACCCGAAGTTGATGGTAGCTGAACCTGAAGGATGGTGTAGCGGAACCCGAAGTTGATGGTGTAGCTACCTGAAGTTGATGGCGTACCCGAAGCGATGGGTGTACCTGATGGTGTGGCTGTAGCCGAAGTTGACAGGAAGCGTACCTGAAGATGATGGTGTAGCTGAACCCGAAGATGATGGTGAAGCAACCCGAAGTTGATGGTGTAGCTGTACCTGAAGTTGATGGTGTAGCTGTACCTGAAGCGATGGTGTAGCGAACCCGAAGTTGATGGTGTAGCTGAACCCGAAGCTGATGGTGCCGTACCTGGCACGCGAACCCGAAGTTGATGGTGAAGGTAGCTGAAGCCGATGGTTTAGCTGCACCCGAAGTTAATGGTAGCGAACTGAAGCGATGGTGTAGCTGTTCCGGGGAAGCGATGCGTAGCTGAACCTGTGCTGATGGTGTAGTTGTACCCGAAGTTAATGGTGTAGCGAACCTGAAGCGATGGTGTAGCTGAAGCTGAAGTTGATAGTTTAGCTGTACCTGAAGCGATGGAGCACCTGTAGCTGAAGTTAGCTGCGAAGCTGTACCCGAAGTTGATGTGCCAGCGAAGTTGATGGTGTAGCTGAAGGATGGTGTAGCTGTAGCCGAAGCTACGGTGCGCTGAAGCGATGGCAGCTGAAGCCGTTGATGGTGTAGCTATATACGAAAGCTGATGGTAGCCATAGCCGAAGCCGACGCTGAAGTTGATGGTGTAGCTGTAGCTTTGAAGCCGATGGTGTAGAAGCTGAAGTTGATGGCTGTACCCGTGCTGGCGCTGTAGCGAAGTTGATGCAGCTGTACCTGAAGCGATGGTGAAGGTACCCGGAAGGATGGTGTAGCTATAGCTTGTGCTGATGGTAGCTGTACCCGAAGTTGATGGTGTAGCTGTGGGCTGAAGTTGATGGTGTAG